GGTCCTCCCTAACTTGTCTACATTTTTGCCTGCCATGAACTGTCTCTCCTCTGTGACACCTCTTTTCCACAGCCATTCTACCTTGGAACCAGCACTTATGGACTAACATCTCTACAACTGTAGAGCTAACTAAATGTTCCTCCTTTAATTTTTGGTGTTGGATATCTCACCAATGAGAGAAAAGTAACAAAAGTAACAAAGACAGCAATAAATACTGTTGATGGTTGCGTGACTATGTCTAATGCCACAAAACTGTATACTTAAAAATGGCTAAAGTGGCAAATTTTGTATTATGTAAGTTTTCGGCATTAAATATGCTTATTTCTGTGTTTTGTTATGTAAGGGGTCAAACATTTTAAAATCAATATAAGAGAGTATAGGAATAGAGATAGGGAGGAACATCACAGCAAGTTTTGAATTGCTACCTTTAAAGAGAAAGTGTTACTTTTATATTCAGAATGACATTTTCTTCAGGGTCTGTCTCATTTTTCACTATAGTTATCTAGGCCTATGATTATTAGTACTGCATTTTTTCTGCCAGATATTAAGAATACCATTGCTCCATTTGAAATTTGTTTACTTGGATTGTGGCAAATCTCATGCTTTCATTTTATGGGACAGTGTTCTTCATTACTTTAGGAAATTGTTTACTCAGTAAAGATCTATCACATTTGATAATGGTCTCTGAATCCCCTGGATTATTGCAGGGATTTGGTTTTGTAATAATCTCCCATGGGAACTGTCCAAACAGCTGTGCAGGCAAGAGAGCTACAGGGGCAGTCTTGGTCTTTAAAGCACAGCAACAAGGGACTAAAGCTGACCAAAATGAATCTTTTCTGCTTCTCACTGGTAAGTTTCTTTGCAAGTATCCTTTATATTCTCATTTTTATGTTACTATGACCAATAAAATAAATGAAATGAAGATATGTCCTAAACTTCTTAGATGATGGTATTAATGCATTTAATGTTTCATATGAAAGGTTGCATCAGGAAGAACAGAAATGACATGCTTTCATTACAGTGCTTATGCTAGTACCATTAAAAACACAAGCAACTTTTTAAAAATGCATTAATCTGTACTAATTACCACTTATTTAACATTTGATGTTGAATTCTTAAGTATGGTCTTTTGTGAATTGTATTTTCAAGAAGTTACAGTCTTTTATTTGCTATGAGAATGAGAACATTATTTTGCAAAATATGTTGCATTTAAGTTACTTGCTTTGCTTTGAAACATTCCAGAAATCAATTTTTTTACTTTATTGTGTGAATAGAGAATTCCAAGGCAGGCTTAGTTAAATTTCCAGGGAGGCAGTTCTCTGAGTTACACTGCATTGTCACTGCAAGTTACAATAGCTTAAGCTGGTCCTGGAGATGTGCTCATTCAAGGGTGTAAGCATCTCTCAAGTTCTTTTTCACATTATTGCATTTTTTTCCTTTAGCCTGAAGTGGATCAGTGAAAGTTATCAGATACTCATAGATCTGGAACTACTTTATAATTCTAACCTGCCATTGTGACCATCTGCCAGTGCTTAAAATCAATTTCAAAATAATTTTATTCACTTTATGTATGTTTAAAGCATGGCATTATGCCAATTTATTGGTATTTCAAGATGTTGAGGAAGATCCCCTTCTCATTTGGGAAAATAAAATTGTCTAGATTTGATGTTTGTTTTCTTTCCAAATTGCAAAGAGATTAACAAAAATGCTGGAGATGTTGCTGACATAGGTTGCAATACCTAAACAGGAGGCATTTTAAGACAAGATAAGGAATTTAATCTTCAAACATCTTGAATAATAAAGTCCAGCTGTGAATTCTGGGAGGCTGAATCATCGAGTTTGAGTTTCCTATATAGTCCAATTCACAAAATAACTGCCAGCTCTCAGCATTGCTTTGTACTATATAAATCTGACTGAAGAAATCCCATTTCAGGTGATTTAAGTGGTATTGTACATTCTTTTCCAGTCGATCTGAAAGAGCAATATATGTTTTATACTTCCTGTATAAGTAGGCAATGTAGCACCAAAGATGATTGCATTCTGAAATCATTTTGAATGGTAATATAATCAGTATGTTAATGTTTCTATAACATAGCATAGTTTAGCATAGGATGGCATACATTTGAAAGCCTATTTCTAAAGATGCACAGCCATATAATGAAGACAAATGTATTTCTCAGAAATGTAAGGCAGTGGACATTTTGCTTCAAACTTTTGACTCACAAAAAACAATATGACTGTAACATTTTTCCATTATTTAAGGTTATCTTTAAGAAGTTAGTTGCTTGAAAATATTTAATTAGATTGAACTATCATTAGCATTGTTCAAATGTACCAAGGTTTACATGGTAAAAAATTAATTGCTTTAATAGGAAAATGCACATTTTTCAGAACATAATAAAACTAATCTTAGCTTTTTTATTACTTCTTATGAAATAACTAAGAAAACAGATTGAGTGTATGGGTTTTCCAACAGAATGTTGTGATAACCCACTGCTAAGAACTGTCCAACAGTGTGGATGATAGCCCTTAACAAGAATTTGCATAATCCCAAATATATTTCATCTGTGATTATGGAAATGTGAATATATAGGATGCTGTATTTAAGAGAAGACCACGAAATTCACTGGTTTAGTGGAAAGAAATATCATAGAATTTAAAAACTGAAGTGGGTGCTTTTAAATAGTATTATATAAAGGTTACCACTAAGGAAAGAGTGAAAGAGTTAAATATTCGCTTGTTTAAGAGTAGGGGAAAGTTGTAAATCTTTTAGTAAATGGGGTTTTTAAGAGAAATATAAAGGCAGAAATTAATGAACTACCCATTTTGAGCTAAGACTACCATAAATAACCCATTAAAGTTGATTGCTATTATTTTGAACCTATAAACTTGAAATGGGGCCTATCTTTCAAAAGTGTGGCAGGAATACCTATTTTTATGCCACTATGACTGCACAATTCTTCTTAGAATTTTATATTGTGATGAGGAGTTTTAAAAGCTTGCTCATTTGAAGCAAGGAGCTTCTCTTGTTGCATTCAGCACACACTTACTGTATTTAGCACGACTTTGTAACCCACGAGGTTACAAATCAGTTATTCCTGCACTACTTTTTCAACAGTTTTTGAGTGTTTTCTCTATTTTTATTTGGACCTTAGTCTATCTTGTTGGTTTATTTCTTTTCCTTACCTTTTGCTTATTTTAAATACCTTTTAGGGCAGCTAGTAAAATAATTCTAATGTTGGGTTGATATTTTATACAGAAGACAATGTTTTCCTCCAAATTTTAACTTTCAAAAAATTTACATCATATTGTCAGATTATGTAAAAACCATGGACATGATTTTAATTAAAATGGATTTGAATTTTGCGTAGTTCTTTTAAATGAACATTTACTTCCATATGCTGTTGAGTTCCCTTATCTACAAATAAAAGCCTTCATCTATTTATTTCTTTAATATTTTATGGCTTTGATAATATTTAAAAATTTCTCTACAAAATTCTTGTACAATTTGTGATAATCTTATCACAAATCTAAGAAATCTGGCTGACATAGTGAATACTTTTTTGTGATTTATAAATGTATTTTTTAGATATGGGTATTAGAACTAATAATTTTGGTTAATTTAAAATTTTCTGATAGTCTGTGGTTTAGTGAGATATTTCTAAGCAAATAATCTCCAAATTACTATCTTATTTAACAATGATACTGATAATTTCTTTTTATGTTGTATGACATTGACAGGTAAGTATGCTAGGATGGCAGGCACCCTTCTTTCCTTTCTCATACTTATGTAATCCGTTCTAATTGAGTCTCTCCAAAGGCCTTGACAAATACCCCCAATTGGGATAAGAAATCTTTTCTTAATTTGAAAACTGTTTGTTGTGTGTAAATATTAAAATTTGCAAGTGTCTTAGAAGATTTATTGAGAAATGTCTTTTTAGTATCTTACTGTGTGTATAAATTCTGAAATATCTTTATATCTCTTCATTAAATAAACACTAATCATGATGCTTTATTATAGTTGCTACTAAATTTAATTTGTTAACATTTTATTTAGGATTTAAAATTGTGTGATATAAAATTTATCTACTGTTTTCACTGATAAAAATGCTCCATCATTTTCTTTTTCTACAATTTCTGCTAGTGCCATGTTGTAGTCTACCAGTATAATTATTAAACATATGCTAGCAATGGTCCGTGTCTTTTCTGTACCCTGTGTGAATTTTTCAGCATTTTCCAATTATTTCTTAGAAAAGATCTACAGTTTGTATCATTTTTTGATTGTTTAACATAAATTTCTATGGTTATGTTATTTATTTCAATATTTTTAATTGAGTTTTGTTGCTGTTTAATTTGCTTGTATTACATTTGTCTGTTTTGATTTCATCCTACATTATTTATTTGTAGCTGAATATTACATTTTCATTTATCACTCTGAAGATCAACTTTCTCTCTTAAATTATGTCTCCATCTGTTTTATGATTTGATTTTATGTGGAATGAAATGGTTTTTTCATATTTTTCATTACATTGGCTGTCTTTCATAGTCCTTTCCTGGGCTTTGGCTAATTTTGAATGATAATTTTTTCTTTTCCTCACTCTCTTCTTCTTGGTTGGCCTCTTTGTCTTCCTTGCTTTACTTGTAAGGCATAAAGTTCAAGTCTCTCAGGCTCTGGTTGAAATGTAGGCCCACCACTCCTACCTGACACATGATGTGCTCCTGATGTAGATTCTGTCCCAGTGCTGGCTTGCTTTACATTGTATTTTTTCATTGTGTTTTTGGACTGTGTTTTTCTGACCCACAGATTGGTATGAGTAAGATCTGCAACACCTGTTCATAGAGTCTGCCAGATGTGGTGGCACAGTCTGAGAGGATGTGGTGGGAGGATCTCACGTTCAAGATTTGCTGGGCTATTTCATGAATTAGCAAGATGCTGTCCCCAAACAAACAACAAAAAAAGCAAAAACAAACCAAACTGAACAAACTAAGAAACAAACCTTTCCTTGCAGCCTCATTTTATAGTGATAATTGCTGCTGTAACCCTTAGAAGTTCCTATGAGCTTCCCTGGGATGACAGAGACCTGCGGCTTGAGGGCACACCAGGCTCAAGATCTGGTCTACGCTGTCTGTTTCTGGATAGATCCTAATTGGTCTGTGCTTTTGTCTTCATTCATTTGTGTTTCTGTAGTGTTTGGGTTTCCTGCATGGTGTGTTTCAGAGCATGTGTATTTTAGCTCTTTGTGATTTTCTCAAGAATTTGTTATGTGGGGGCTGGGGATTTAGCTCAGCGGCATAAGCACCTGCATTGCAAGCAGGCGGTCATGAGTTCGATCCCCGGTACCGATAAAAAAAACGAAAAAAACAAAACAAAACAACAACAAAAAAAGAATTTGTTATGTGTTTGGGATAGTGGATAAGCAAAACTAGAAAACACACTGGCATAAAATTCTAAAAAAGGCACATGAGCCTTTAAACCTTTATTTTGCTAAAAAAAACCTTTTATTTTGCTTACATATTAATCAAACATATTATAAGATCTTTCGTGTATAATACTGCATTTAACAATTAATTCAAGCAAAAAGCCTTCTTTAAATTGTCCAGCAGATTTTTATATTGAAATCTATTGTCAGCATTAGTAATTACTATATTTAGAATAAAGTGTATTTCTCTCTTCTAATTTAAGACTGAATATAAATGATGCTAGAGGTAAATCTAAATCAATTCTACCTAAAAAAGGAAGGGTTAGGAGAGAACAAGTGAGTCCATTGCTTCCATCCCAAGTAGAGTTCACAGTATTTTGAAATCTAAATTCATGAATTTTAAGATTCATTATTCCATAAAACATGTAAGACAATAAAATTTATTTGTAACACACATTGTCTAAATAATAATATGAATGCCTTGACTATCATGAAATACTTTTGCTATTTCAGATTATTCATTGTATTATTTTGTCCTCGTGCCTCTATGTAAGGCGAATAAAACTGCTTTCCAGTTGAGAGAACTAGTAGATTGTATTCCCTGTATAAGTAGGGGTACTAGTTAAAGACGTACAAGTGATTAGAAACTTGTGACCAGCACAGTTTACTGGTAGGTCAAAGAGGCCTTTATTTACTACTCTGAATTTGATATCTTCATCATGCCTCTTGAAGCACTGCTTCAGATTGTTTTGTCTAGACTCTCATTCTAATTTTTGCTCTATGTTAAGTGGTCAGATTTAAACTGTATATGTAGTGTACAGTAATTGAGGTAGGGTGTATAAACCCTACCTTATAACCTAAAAAGTTAGGTATATAAATTAGGTATTTCTTCAAGGAAAATTATTTTCTTTAACTCATAAATTTCTATATTGCAGGAGGGTTCTATGGATAGCTTATATGAGCCAATCCCAGTACAGCAAACTAACCAAGAACCTAGTGGAGCTGGTTCTCCTACCTCACTCCATGGGGAGAGTGGACAAACAAACCCAAATGCCTTCTTGGTGAGTGAAGCCTTGAATGAATTTCTACTCCACTATATAATTAGACTCATAGCTTAGTGCCCCACTGTTTTTGGAAAGTCCTTCATTTACCTTTAAATTTCCAATTTACTCTTCATCACTGTCTCTCAGTATTTTGGAACTGCTTTTCACTGAGTATACATTGAATGAAGTATGTGTTAGGTGATTATCTAAGTTAACTTGTTCTTCAAATTAACTTTAGCACATACATTTTTGATGATGAAATTGCAAGAGAGAAAAGCAAAATAATTTGCTAATGGCAATAGACCATTAAGTGTTAAAAGTTGGCATTTAAACACATCAATTATTTCTGGTGAGCCAGGTATAGGGTTAGGAGAGATGTGGATTTATAGGTTTTCAATTCTCATGTTGTAAAAGCTCTTATCATGGCTTATTTCAAACTCTCAAATGTTAACTATGAGCTTAGTAAAGCTAATATTTAATTTTTAATTATTAATGACCTGAAGTGCTGATGCTAGCACAACTTTGATTTCCAATCCTACATCCTAGTTAGGCTAACACCTCACTGAACTGTTTCTTCAGTTTGTGAACATACAAGATCCGCTTACAAAATATTTTACCAAGACTGGAATACAAATCAATTTGTTAATTTTCTTTAAATTTACTAGAAGTACAGAGTTCTGTAAGCTGTATTTAACTGAGACCTGATCTAACCATTCTCTTAGCCATTTGTGCTATCCCAATTTCCCAAGACGAATATAATCATTAGGTATTATAAACATACACTAACAATAAAACATAAAAGTAAAGAATAATTTTAAAATATCAATGCAATTAAGACTCTTCCCTTAATTCTATACTTTCTTAATATTCATGAAATATTTATAGTGACAGGTATGAATAAGAGGAGGCAACAGTGGCTTTGCTTATTAATGTGAGAGAAGTAGACAGTTTACATGCAGACCTTCAAATGAGCTGGAAAAATACCTGTCAGCACTTTCAACCTGTAATTAAAAAGAGAAATTAAATAGGTGAACAAACCTAAAGACATTTCCTTAAATGTTTATGTTTAATGAGATACATGAAAATAGATCAAGTTAATGGCCAACCAGTGTAAGAGACCTTTTCAGAACATCTCTTATCTTGTGAAAGTAAGCTAAAATAATAAAAGCACAACTTAAATTGATAGAGTTGCATATGTCTCCATATTTAAAATATAGTATATATAAATACATATGTGTTTACATGTATATATGTGTATATAGAATATAGTGCACTGAAAAGTGAGTTCTGTCATTGATTCTAACATTTAATTGCTGAGTTATATAGGCTATTGTGCATAATCATTACATTTCTAAAGAAAAAAATATCCACAGCTTGGAAAAGTCAAAGTCATTATTTAAATAATAAAATGAAAAATTTAAATTGTCTAATTATTTTCTGTACTTAGTAACTTGGCACTTTCCTGAGCTTTTCTCTGATCATTTGAGCAGTGCAACTTTTCTTGTCCTTGGTCTGTTTTTTCTTCCTAAGTCAAGGGGAAAAAATGGGGTAAATATTGACAGCGTCACAAGGAGATTATGCTATTTGGACTGGTTTTCTAAAAATACTCGGAGAACTCTTCTGGGTCACTTGAGTTATACCTGAAGTTCTCAGTCCTCAATTCAAAGATATTTGTAACCTTCCCAAGCTGGAGTATGCTCTTGAAAATCTTTACAATCAATGTGACAGTGATTTTAGTTATTACAGTGGAAATTGTAGTTCATAATAAAAATGTCATTTGCCACATGAATTGAAAAGAAAAATTGAATAAGAAAAAAATTCTGAGGTTTTTTATTTTGTTACTTCTTTTATTTATATGTAGTTCTAAGGGTTTTACTTATTGGAAAATGTTGCATTGAGAATGGTGGGAAGTTCCATGACTGTTCTGTGTTTCAAAGGAGATAATCTAGTGTACACCAACTGCAAATTTAAGAACAGTAACTTTCACTTTCCACTCTTAATGAAGAAATATCATAATTATCCAACTGGTATTTTAATAACAGCTCTGGGGAGGGGTGGTTATGGGAAGCTACTCCCAGAGGAATCAATTTAAATTATGTGATTTTTATTAAAATTTTTAAATGGTTATGATAAATATATACTTGTAGTATAAAGCAAGTCATGAAATTTTAGTGCTGCTAAAAATGGCAGGTAAGAAGTTTTATAGGGTGAAATCATTGAATTAAATAAATATGCTAAAAGAAAATATACTAGCTTATTAAGCTAATTACTGGCTACTCTTCATACCTTATTTGAAATGTAAACTGTAAATGCTTGATCTTATACCTGTTTTAGCACCTCCTTATCATGACTTAAAATAGTAAATATTTGAATTAGAAAAAAAGAATATAAAATATTTGTATCTCTGTCAACTTGATTTAAATGGATCAAGACAAATACCGTCTTGGCTTTCATCTATGTTCTTTACAAGAAGCAAATAATTGTCAATTTTCACTTCATTTCTTATCTAATAAATTACAAATTGGTAACTAAAAGTATTAAGACTTTTAATAAATAAGTTTATATGTAGTAGGGATGGTGTCTCAATTATTTATATGTTTCACATTGTAGTATTAAATAAATGTTTGTAAAGTAAGTTAAAGTGTTGTTTCCTTACTCAAAGTAAAGGAAGTGTTAATAACATTGCAGAACCAACAATGCAGTATCTAAAGACTGTGAGCTTTGGGGAGGGCAGGACTGAGTTCTGATGCCATGCCTGCTGCTTATAAACTATCTGACCTTGCAAAGTTGCCTGAATTCTCAACCTCACTTTGCTTGCACTGCGGAAGGAGGAGAACATTTCCTTGTATCCATCTGGTCAAATTCAGTTTAAGAGAACATATTATACCCTAATATAAGCAGAAAGGGTTTAGCACAAAAGTTAGAGAACCATCAGGAGACACATGACAGCCTGGATTACTACTGCTGGTGAGCTAAGAATGACTTGTAAATTTTTAAAAGTTTGGTAAAATAAAACTGAAATAAAGGGGCCAATAGAAGCAATAAAATCTATCTTTGACCCACAACTCTAAAATATTTCTGACTGGCTTTTCACAAAGGAAGTTTGCTAGCCTCTGCCCTAGAGCTGCACTACCCAGCCACAGGTGGCGACTGAGTATTTGGAAAATGGTTAGTCTCAATGTAGATGGTCAATAAGTATAAAAAAATGACATGTTTTAAGGATTTCATATAAAAACACTGACTAGTATCTTAACTTTTTAGTTTATTTATCTAAGTGATAATACTTGAGCTAGAGGAAATGAAAAGTTAGTTCTCTTAATGTGGCCACTTTAGTATCCCGTCTTCTAAATTTCCTGTGAATTTATATATTTTGCCAAATTTAAAACATATCAGTTACTCAGTCTCCAGGATAATTTATAGAATGCGATTTTAAAGCTTCTGGCCTCTCCCTGTAGGGTGCCATGCTAGTGATCTGTCCCTGCAGAGACAGGAAGGGTGAGCAGTTTTTCTGCAGGTGGTTCCCAGGGATGTAGACAAAATAACTCTTTCCATCTCTACTTCAGAGTCAGGTTTTATGCTATCATTTAAAATGACTTGGATATAGCAAGTTAATAAATGATCATTTGCCATTTTTTAAAATTTAAGATTGAGAAGGATGGAAAAATTGGCAAGATTATTTAATGCCATTATATTTGAGAATAAATCGCAAGCGAAGACCTTGTTGCATGGAAAGATTTTTCAGTTTTCAACAGCCACTGGACTCTGTAATCACCTGAAAACACAGACAGATGTCCACAACACACTCTGGTCACATAGCATTGGCAAAGAGCAATTTATTGAAGCCCTGCTCACTAGAATTATAATGTGATCCTCATACTTAATTTTTGGTATTCCATTGTCTATAACAAAATTTTAAAAATGAATAGATACAATTCATATAATAATGTGTTTAAGCCAGTTTACTCCAAACATTATCATTTCAACAAGCAAATAGTTATATTCTTGCATGTAAACTGAGACTTTGAAATTCAGTGGTTAATATACAAAATAGCACATCTTAATTCAGATTCTAAAATTTCAATAGGCAAAGTGAGTTCGGTTGCAGTAAGATAAAAATAATGTGCATTTATTTTGCCTCCTTTGTTTTTCAAGTGAAGATATTAAATTAAATTTTAATTCCTAAGTAGCATTATCCTATACAAAAAGGTTAACTACTACATCAGCACTTGAAATTGCTGGCAAAATTGAGTCACCAGAATAACCAGAGGGTATCAATTCTTCCCTTTACTCAGAGTAACATGCCTATTAAAGTATAAAAGTACCTGATTATAACCATTTAGATATATACTTCAGAAAGAAGACTACAGGGAAGATGTGTGTTTATCAGTGAATAACCAGAGAATAGTGAGTTGGCTGAAGTTATAGGTGGAGTTAAGGCTGGCGTTCTGATTTCCCAATGCTAAATTTTTCTTCAGCTTCTGCCACCAGCATGTTTATATATTATGTGCACAGGAGAGAGAGAGACTATAAAAAAAGTGAATGGGATAGTGTGTTTGGAGAGATGAAGAGAGAAGAGAAAGGGAAAATTGAAAAAGAAAGAATTAAAAAATACCATGTATATGCTAAATGTAATCTGTTATCTAAAGGACATAGCAGAATTAGATTTAGATAGCCAATGATGGTAATAATCTTGAATTTTATTCCTGCTCCTAGTCTGGGAACAGTGTGTCCTTGGGAATGTTATTCAACTTTTCTGAGTAATGGAATATGAATAAACATATCTGTCTTTTGGTTTGTAGTAAAGATCAAGTGTTATAACACACGTTAAACACCTGGAAAAGTACATGTTAATGATCGTTTCTTTTTTTCTCCAAACCATTACATTTGGGCTGAGTGAGCTTTAATTTAATATCCTTGATTAAAAGACTTTGATATACGCTTCTTTGAGCTTGGATACTGTTTTAAAATAATTGTTCAAAAATATTTATAATCAGTGTTCCTTATCTAAAAGCATTGAT